TCGAACACCATCCCGTAGTGACCGCCTTTTCCGCCATAGTCGTCATTCCGGTACCTGCGCGTCTCTTCCAGGTCCTCTCTGCCTCCGAAGCCCTCCATAGGCCGGCCTCCGCCTCGGCCGCGTCTGCCTCCCCCGCCACGGTCCCCGCGGGGGCCCATTTTGGGGTCATTGGACCAATGAGTGTTCATGCGGGCTACGGATTGGGAGCTGATGAAGGGATCAGCAGAGGTACAGACTAAAGTAGAGCGAAGACATACAAGTCTACCCATATTCGCCGATCGTCCACCAAGACGTTTTGCATTTTGAAGTAAGCCTAGCAATACCATTGAAAACAGCTGTGTAACGGAGCCAAAACAATACTAACCTGCTCGGCATCTTCCCGCTTATCAAATTCAATGAATGCATATTGCAACGACTCCCCGGTCTTCTTGTCGCGTATGACTTGACAACTCATGATCGTGCCAAACCGAGAGAATATCAGCTCGAGGTCCTCGTCGCGTGTTACGGGATTCAACTTGCAGACGAACAGGACATTTTCTGGGGGCCGTACGTTGGCGAATGGCAGATCGCCGACCATCTCAAGAGTTAGAGCAGATGCGCGTGCGGCTTGCTCCCGGCGCTGTTTCTCAGCTTCCTCCTCTGGGAGAGTCGCGAGCGGGTCCTCGTCCTCTGCGATGCGCGTCGAATTATCTGGTGGTCGAATGGGCGAGGCATCAGGACGGACGAGACCAGGAGGGTCTGGGAATGGGTCCTCTGTGCATATGCGTTAGGTATAGCAGTTGGAGAATACTTGCTCGTTACCTAGAATGATTACGTGCCTTATCCTGACATCCTTCAGCGGCCGCCCTTCTTGGTCCACAAAGACCTCGTTCAGCTTGTCCAATGTCTCCAGTCCTTCCACGACGTGTCCAAAGACAGCGTGCTTGCCGTCAAGATAATCGATGTTGTCGGCAAGAGTGACGAAGAACTGGCTGCCGCAGCCGCCCTTGAGACCTTCGACAGAGGGCGCTACGGCCATCGACACAGTGCCTCGCTCAGTATGCTTCAGGCGCGGGACAATCTCTGGAGTGAAATATCGCGGCGCTGATTTCCCTTGCTGAGTTGCAATATACGACCATATGCATTCTCCTCCAGTTCCTGTCGCTGTGGGATCTCCCGCCTGAGCTAGGAAGTCCTTCGACACTGAACAGCTGTAAGTTCCCAGTCATACAACCTGTTGTTGATCGAAACACATACCATTGAAGAAACAGTTGAGATTATAGTAGTAGACTTTGCATAGTTTGAGGAAATTCTCGCAGGTCTTTGGGCATGCTTCGACTTCTAGGTCGATGACGATGTCGCCGAAGGACGTCTCCAGCAAAACTGACATACCGTACGCCTGACTTCACCCCCGAAACCACTCGAATCCTGCTCTGAACGACAAGGAGATACCTACGTGTATGTGTAACAGAGTGTGGTGGTAGGAGGACAGAAGGAGTCCGTCGACTGTGCGCGTCGAGACCAAGGAGCGCCGGCCCGCCGGTGCAGGCGCATACATTCTTAGGGACCAGCAACAAACTAGGTCGACATGCTCAGGGTCATACTCATGCCAGGTTCATATCGCCGCCTCAAGTGATCTAGCGACAACAACAAAGAGAAACGACCATCAACCATCGCCCTCAAGGTGGGCAGTCATGAACGTCTTCTACGACGGCTCCTGGATCAAACAATGGCAGGATGCCCGCGCAGCAGGAAGATTCTCTCGCGTGGATATGGACAGCGAGTGGGTGACTATCTGATGGCATGGCATTGTCGGCACTGACAGTTGGTCCTGTTAGTGAATTTCGGAAACTAGAGGAAATACATCGGTTGTACAGGGCCGACAAGGCCTTTGAACAAGACTGTATTGGCCTATGGCCTAAGTTACCGCGTCACCGAAACATCCAGGTTTATGAGAATTGGCTCAAGGAGTTGTACTGCCATGTAAGCGGGCGGTGGCACGGCAGTCGCTTATGCTCACCGTACACCTCAGCTCCGTTATCACATCGGGCTGTTCACCTACAAACCCGACGCCGCGAGATGGCTCGACAAGAGGAAGAATCCTAAGCCACCGAAGGCCCCGGAGGATCCAGAGCAACTCGATCGACTTCAGTTGTTCATATGGGATCCCCGGACCTCCATTGCCCTGTTTCTCTCCTCGATCTGGTTTGACAACGGGTGGCAGAACAAAAGAGACTGGTGTCGTGATGCACCGTTGCTGATCTCTTTCTATGTGGACTTTCTCTTACGGGTTGGTTTCCATGCTGAAGAGGCAGGTATACAGGAACTGGAATCAGCTCGAGCGTTACTTGACAGTGTATGTGTAATATGTCCATTGCAGCGTGTTTCCCGAAGCTCATACGGACTCCCCAACGACAGGCGAGAACTGAGCTGCCCCAAACATTAGTGATCGCCCGCGCCCTGCGCTGCTCGGTCTCCCGAGGTCTCAAAGAGCTCTGGGCAGACCAACATGGCGCATCTTCAGCCCAGCCGACAGCCCAAAGTTCTGTACCGCAGAACTGGGCAGAGCTGGCCTTCGACGACGCAGCATGGTTCAAGCCTGATCCTGGCGCAATGCCACTGATATCTCTTCTCGGACCCACAACGTTGCCTCTCACGCACACACTCGGGTTAGTGGAAACGAGCACGCGTCGCATCGTTTCCATCCTGCCACCCAAGTCTTCCACCAGCGGGCGCAATAACGGAGTGGACGAAGAGCTTGCGCACCATCTGGGGCAGGTCATTCTCGCACCGTGGGGCTTGCCTCCGGACGACTGCTCGCACATCATGCCGCCAACAACGAGCATGCGACATGGTAGCCATGGTCCCACTTGTCACAACCCGAATCGCGGCGCTATTACGGTCCTGGTGGAGCCACCCGTCCTCAATGCCCTTATCGTCGGTATGGGTCTCTCTGCGACCTTTGCGCAGATCATACCCCATGCCAGTGAGGAGAGCGAAAGAGATCACTACTGGTTTGTTGAGGATGTACACCAAGTTATCCCCAGCTATTACATCGACGAGCCGGCTCCCCCTTCACCTGAACTTCTATAGACGTCCTCCGATGTCAATTCTCGCGGCATGGATCGTCTTCAAAATGTCTTCATATCTGCCCTCGTATCTGTCGTCATATGTCCGCCGCGCGCTTCCATTACCGTCATCTTGCTTTCATATACCCTCCCGCTGCTATCATGCCCTCTGTTGTTTTGCTTCAGTATCTGTAATTCGTGCCTGATGCTCCCGAAGAATTGTACCAGCTGCTGTATGACAGGCACGATTTTGATAGCATTATGTACGTGTCCCATGGGTCCAATGCAAGCGTTTCACCCCTCCGAAACTATACAGCAACACTGGGTTCAATCTCGCCCAACAACATCGTTGCGTCCTTGCTGCCCGTCAGAACTGGACGTATCAAGTTAGTCAAATGCTGTAAGATCATTGGATCATACGCACTGATGGGCTCTTTTGGATGGAAGTCAACTGCAGTGACCGTGCCTTTGTGTCCTGGGAGCTGGAACGGCGAGGCGGGTTTCAGTTGATCATACCTCAATACACATAGATTCACTACGCACCTTGTACTGTAACTTCCCGCTTTCGACGTCCCAAATGCATACCATCCTGTCCGCGCCACCGACGGCCACGCGCTTTCCTCCGTCATCGCGACTCCATGCGCCCTTGAGCAGGGTATTCTCGAATCCAGCGGGCGCGCCCGTCAGAACACGGTGTATGCGGGTTGGGGATGGAGAGAAGGGCCGAATATCGTGAATAATGACTTGTGAGGAGAATGAAGGGGATAGAAGATACGAGCCATTCGGGGACAGGGAGAGCGAGGTGGGCGTATCCGTGTGTCCGCCAAGCGTAGACACTTGGGCTTGTTTGCGAAGGTCATAAACCTGCCAACGTACCGTTAGATATTGCGATGCGCCAGACCAAAAGAGAGAAACCCACATGGATCTCATTGTCCAAAGCGCCAACATACACGCTCGCGCCGTCCGCGCTCCAGCACACTGCCGTGACGGGGCAGCCAACCTCGAATGCCGCGACACAGTCCTTCTTTCCCTCGTCCCCTCCTTCCCATATCCTCACAGTTCCGTCATCCGAGCCGGTGGCGATCAACTCCACGCCCGCGCCGCCGGCGATAGTCCTGTCCAGCGTATTGATGATTCCACGATGCGCGCGTATTTTTCTGACGCGCTCGCCCGTCGTCACGTCGCTCATGAGCAACGTATGGTCCGCCGAGACGGTGTAAATGAGAGGATGGAGGAGGGACCATTGAAAGTCGAGAATGGGCGCTTTGTGGATGCTTTGCAGAAGACCATAGTTGACATTCGGAGGATACGTCTTCCAGAAAGCTATAAAAGCGTATATCGTCTCTACAGCTACGAAACAGCATGACAAGGACTCACATAGACTACGGTCTGCGGAACACGCAGCGATATTTTGCCCGCTTGGGTCGAATCTACAGCTCAGTATTTCTGCCTGCGAACCACCTCACTCAGCCTACTGTTTAAAGACCCTCCTCCAGCATCGTGTTCGCACCTAGCACGAAGTACGTACCGAGTGTGCGCCCGACAAGCTCACGATGGGAGCTTCGAGACTGCTTGTGCGTTTGATGCTTCTGACTATGCCACGCTCGTTGTTCGAGGACGATATGACCAGCTGCTGGGTCTGACCATCTGGGGAGTTTGACCGGGCGCGTTTGATGAGTGTGCCAGACGAGGACGGCGACGGCGGACGTTTGGCCATGGCTCAGTCAAGTTATAACGAACGTACACAAAAGCGTCTCATTACAGCGGCGCTTTCTCACGATCACTGGATAGTTCTCACAGTCAGCAGCCACAGGTCTTGAAACTCCGCCGGACTTATCCGGTGGCTTGAATTTACGAGGCTGCTTTGCCACAATGCGCCGCACGATATTACGAGCTCTATCTCAACGAAGGTAAAATGTATCCTGGACCTAAAAGTAATTGAAGGAGTTAAAATGACCACCGCAGGGGTCGAACCTGCAATCTCCTGATGCATATTAGTCGTAGTCAGACGCGTTGCCATTACGCCAGGCGGCCGTGACGGGTACAGTAAGTTAAAAATTATTATTATAATTACAAATTAAATAAATATTTTGAAGTGGCGCGTCTCTTCCTGAATTGCCACAACATCGCCAAGCAGAGTTCAAACCCTCATATCTAGCTAAGCTACCAGTCTCCAATACAGAAGGCTCCGGCGGATCATGGGCGATGACTATCAATTCATTCCTTCGACCGCTGTGAAGCGGAAGCTTGTAGAAGCCGGGGATGCACTACGTACAGAGAGTGGGAAACGGACTCGCAACAAGCTTGTTGTCTCGATCCCGGCGGTTGCGGGGACACGAAGTAAAGAGGAGAATCCGCCTTCCACAACCCCAATACCCTTGATCTTCGCTGACTTGCCCCCCCTGGACCTCGACGATGACTGCGACACCGACTCGCTCTTCGGCTCTCTTGATTCCGAACCAATCGCGGCTTCTTCAAGTGCGGATGCTCCCTCAGAAGCACGAGCTGAGCCCATCCCATCGATAGCTGTCATAGAACTAGAACCTGCATCCCTCACGGCACCGTCAATCCCGGGGCTCACCTTTGACCCATGTCTTCTCCTCCCCGAGCCGCTCATCGACGAAGTCTTCGCCCAATGCATGTCCACGTACTTCACTAACCCACTCACCAACCAGATAATGCTCTTCTCCCGCCCAGACGCCTCACCCCTACCGCCCTTCCTATCAGATCTGATCTCTGCACTGTCCGGCCTCCTGCGTCCCAAGCTCTCGGAGGAAACCCACGACCTCCTGTTCGCAGCACGGGGCAGAGCGCGGCAGGCGATCGTGAATCTGTACGAGCCTGGCGAGGGGATTACACCTCATGTCGACCTGCTTGATAGGTTTGGGGACGGGATTGTCGGTGTCAGTATGGGAAGCGGGTGTGCCATGCATTTTGCTCGTACGGGGGCGAGTAAAGAGAGGCATGCGCTGTACCTCCCAGCCAGGAGTGTCATCGTTATGTGCGGCGCGGCGAGGTACGAGTGGACACATGGGATCGAAAAGCTGTCGGAGGATGTGGTGCTCGGGGAGGATGGTCGGACGCAAGTGGTGAAGAGAGGGACAAGGGTGAGTGTGACGTTTAGGTGGTTGCTGCCTGGTGCGGACGTTGTTGGAGACCAGACCGGAGATGCGAAGGAGTAGTTGTGCAAATCTGGACAGAGAGCAATTTGGGTCACGGCTGGGATATATGTTGAATACACTGGTACGCCAGATCGAGTGACAACCTGTAGAAGTTATGGATCAGTCAAAGTACATCAGGATATAGATATCGACCCACCAGTACCAGCCATGATTCTTCTTGTACTGCAGCACCAACGGACGTGCAGACAGACCTTACCCCCGAACTCGAGTCACTCATAAAAGACCGCCACAGCAGGAATGATGAAAGAAAATGCTATAGTCGACAACATCTAATAACGTACGAGAGCAAAGACCGATACATCCTATACACTGCGCTGCACTTCATTTGCTTCTCCATCACTTCTCCACACAAGTTGCCCGATAATCGAAGGATGGATCAACTCATCGGCCTCCACGGAGGGCGAGAACCAAGTGCAGAACAGATCCGGCTGAGATATTGAACTCGCGCGCCGTCTTGTCGTCAGGCCTATGGAAGTGGCATTCACAGTCAGAGTAGAAATCTACGAGACGAGCGATGGTAACGTACATTTGACGACCACCAAAGATCAACCGCTGCTGAGGGGGTGGCACGCCAGACTGTTCCTCAACTTTCTCCTTGATGCGTGTGATCTGCAGTTCCGGGCTCCTTTAGAGTATTTTAACTCTTCAACGGCAAGTACTTACCTGATCATCAGGATCGATGTCGAGCTCGATCTATTGACAATGAAGATAAACGCAGGTAAGGATCAATCCAGGCATTTCCACCAGGTCGATGATTGCGCACCTCCTTTCCCGTAAGTGTCTATGGATGTCGCATAAGCATAACTCAAGGGATTCCAGCGTAGAGGCTACAAACCTTGACTTTGATTAACATGGTGGCAGAGCAAGTCGCGGATGGTTGCAGAAGAAAGGCAGCCCGTTACAAATGTCAGTGGCGGTACCCGAGCCTAAAGAAGGCAATCCGGGCGATGAACGAGATCATTCATGCGAAGCCTTTTGCGCAATAAATAAATGCACTCCGCGAGAGCGCAGAGCTGCATGAAAACGCGGGTATAATTCACCAAGTCTCTTGTAACCGTATGTTTTCCATGAGAGATTTGGTAGAGGGAAACATGACGATTCAAGCATCCCGACATCAGCGCATTCAAGTTCTCACGGTAGAGCGAATGTTAAAGTTCAGATCTTGCAATTAATGTCCATCTCTTCTCATCTCCTCCAGTACATACTCAATATTCGATACCTGGTCAGCAATTAATGTCATTGGGCACGGATATGCAAGAGTACCAGAAATGGCTTTGACTGGAACCTACCTGGGGCTGGCCGCTAGCGCTGACCGCCTGGAATCACGGCAGCAGGAATTATTCTCAGCTCGCCGGGTGTAACGCATACACTTGAAATTTCCTCTATATACTGATCCTACCCCGCACGAACTCTATGGGTATTATTCGTGCTTGATTCAACCACTGAATCCTCTACTTTCTGTGCTGTCGGGACAAATATCAGTCAGACCCCCAGTGGTTCCATCCCGTCCCCCATGTACGGAACGGAACTCCAGAGGTGCGATTCCAAAAGGATCGTCTTCAGCCTTGCTCTATCCACATACCGTACACCGTATGATACTGCGTCCCCGGACTTTCTCCTTATAGGCTCGTGAAATGGACAACAGATCTCGTGCGCTCTTCGTGCGGCGGACTGGCTGTTCCGCGTTCCGCTTGAATTCTCTGCTAGCACTTCTGACCACAACTGCGATGTTCATCGGGTTCTTTCCTGCCCAGAAGCTTGCTTGCGTTCAATTGCAAGACACCTAGGATGCAACACCCTCGCGCTCTTGTTCCTGGGATCAAGAGAGTCACGAAACCGTTTCAGCAGCCACTACTCCACCGGCCGTCCTAACGCGGCCCCATGATCAGCTACCTATCCCTCCAGACCATACTCCTGTGCACGAGGGACACCGCCATTAAGCTATCTGGGGTATTCATGGAATAAGTGGTCTTAAGACTGCCGTCCTGTCTTTTATACCTGGTTCTGGAAGGGAAGGTACATCTGGTCGCTTTAAATAACAAGCTCTCAGTCAAGCTGCCTGGTGCCCTCTCTCCTGCTGCAGCCATGGCACCTCAGAATGGAACCGTCGACCCGCTCGTCAGTCGGCTTGCGAAAGAGGACAAGGTGCCATGGTACAGGAAGCCGAATCTACGAAGATTATATTTTCTGATGTTTCCGACTTGCCTGGGAGTCGAGATGACGAGTGGGTACGTTTGTCTGCCTTGTTCAACGAGGCGTTTATCCCATGAGTGGCCAGTTTCGACTCCTCTATGATGAATGGACTGCAAGCCGTCACAACTTGGAATAACTGTACGTCTTCCCAGCGAGAAATGATTTGATGGAGATTAAATGGGAATTATGCAGTCTTCAACCATCCGCGGTCCGCCATCCTGGGGCTGATGTCCGCCCTTTACTCCCTCGGAGCCGTAGCTGCTCTCCCTCTTGTGCCCACTATCAGCGACCGGCTAGGTCGCAGATGGTCAATCATTTTCGGCAGCGTCTGGATGCTTATTGGAGCCATATTGCAGACCGCGTCGCAAAATTGTAAGTTGCCGGAATACGACTCACTGGCATATGGCTGAAGGAGGGGATAGTCGCAATGTTTATCATATCCAGGTTCATCCTCGGTTTTGGTATCCCGTTCGCGATTGTGGCGGCTTCCTCTTTGGTGAATGGTACGACCCTAGACGTAACGTTTTCCTTCCTCTTCTCAACTTGATGTCTACCTCAGAACTCTCTCATCCTAAAGAACGGCCTATCGTGAGTTCCCTTTTCAACTCTTGTTGGTTCATCGGTAAGCGATGATATACATGCCACGGAATGCGTCGCGTAAAATTGACTGCCGCCATTCTTTCACAGGTGCAATCGTGGCAGCAGGCGTGACCCTCGGCACATTTGCCATGCCATCCGACTGGGGTTGGCGCATCCCCTCCGTCCTGCAGACCATCCCGAGCATTCTCCAAATTACCTTTATGTGCTTTCTGCCCGAGTCGCCCAGGTGGCTGGTCTCCAAAGGGCGCAACGCTGAGGCTCTTGCAGTGCTGATAGAGTATCACGCCGAGGGCGACGTCGACTCGGAGTTCGTGAAGGCAGAGTACGCTGAGATCGAGAAGACGCTTGAGATGGAGGCCGAGGTGGCGAAGACGAGCTGGATGGAGATGTTTACGACCAGTGGAATGAGGCGCCGGGTGCTGGTGGGATCGTTCTTGGGCTTGGCGACGCAATGGAGTGGAAATGGACTGACCTCGTAAGCGCCGGTGAACCGGTCAGGTATCCTTCATTATGCTGACCCTGGTATCATGTCCCAGGTACTTCCTAGCGCAAATACTGGACAATGTCGGTATTACGGACAACCGCACAAAGAATTTGATCAACTTAGCCATGACCTGCTGGAGTTTCATTAATGGCACTCTCATAGCGTTGACGATGCCGAGATTTAAGCGGAGGACCAGCTACATGGTAAGCTCTTGAGTAATTCTGTTGTCGCAGGATAGTGACCGTTCCGAAGATCTGCACGATCTCGCTGCTCTCGATATTCACCGGCTGGACGATCGCGAGTGCGAGATACGCTATCACGGGTGATCAGGCGTCGTCAAGAGCAGTCATAGCGTGAGTCTGTTTCTGACTATCTGTACTGCGTCTGCTGAAGGCGAATACAGGTTCATATTCTTGTACAGTCCCGCGTACAACATTGGATATAACGCTCTATCATACAGTACGTCCGGTTGTCTGAATCTGGCTATCAGACTAGTGGTTCACCGACTGTCTATTCGTTTTCAGCCTTCTTGGTCGAGCTCTTCCCGTATCACGTCCGGTCGAAAGGCTTGACGA